TAATCTGAGAGCAGCCGGAGCAGCAGAGCAAAGCAGCCGTTTCAGGAGGGTGAGTGATTTCTGCTGTGTGTGTGTGTGTGTGTGTGTGTGTGTGTTAATGCGCTTGGCATGGAAACCACCATGCAAATTGGTGCACAGATGACATCGAAGGAAAGAATTCCCTCCTGGAAAACTCCGCCCTCGAATATATGGGGTGATCTGAGGGGACTGGACTGAAGGCCGAGCCTCGTAGCGTGCTACACACAGAGAGGTAAGGTGACAGGAAATGGCGTCACACTCTTCAGCCGGCTGCCACTAAAAAACAATAGGAGCTCATAAGAAGCGGGCTTCCTTGAATTGTGCGGGTTTCCACATTCATGTCAAAACACAACATACCGTGCTTGCGTTTTTCCATGAGTGCCTGATGATGGGGTGCATGCTTCTCTTTTCCAATGAAAGAGAAAGAAAAAGGCCAGCTAGAACCGACCCTGCAGCACGTACCACGACTGCAGACCAAATATCATGAGGGTTCCCACATAGAACCATCTGGAACCATCCAATAAACCTATGAAGAACCCATTTGAAGAGTCCTGAACATTACATGAAGATGCAAAGCGTGTGTGAAGTTACACTGCTGGTGTGTAACCAAAAAAATTCCAGTTTTGTACAGAGAAAAGTGCCATCTGGTGCCTTTTAAAGTTCTGTAGTTTGTCCTTCTATGGCAATCCTTAAAGGGTCTATCGGAAACCCTGCAACAAAATATATACCTTTCTAAAAAGGTTTAAAACACACGCCATTTTGAAGGCTATACAAATTCTTTTTAGTGTCCAAGGAACCCCTTTTTAAGAGTCTGACAATATGTGAAATAGATTTTTTTTTTTTTTAACCTCCCAACCAATCAGGTTGCAAGTTGGGAGCAAACCATAAAAAAAACAACATGGAGGACAATGTGTCTTGTTAGCCTTATTTAGCCTTGTTAGCGAACGAATACAAGATTAACGATATGTTGAATGGAAAATATTTCATTGCCAAAAGAACAGCGTGTGTATTTTTGGGTCGTTCGCCACTACGTGATGTGACATTTCACTTTAACCGCAGATGCATTCAGTCGAGTCGCACACGCAGCTCAAATTCTCTCGATTTTCTGCTTGCAAAGCTACAGAGAAGTCAAATAACCTCCTCGTCACCAGAGTTACACCGGTCTTTATGTCATCTGCATTACTGAGAATAATCAAGCTAATCCCAGAGAACAAGCTAGGCTAGTTAGATACATTTTTTTAAAAGGAAAATCAGATGGCAAGAAGCAAGACCAATCCCACAATTTCTCTTGCAAGTTATTTATTATATTACAAAGCCAGGACAGTAAAAAAAAAAAAAATCGAAATAAAGTGCGATTTTAGTTATCGTAAAAAGTCTGGAAGGTTTAGAATTGGTGTAATACTGGGTTGGGTCGTAAGACAGCAGCAGGACGGAGACGTGTGTTGTACAGTGTGTGGGCGGAGACTCGGTCTGTTACAGAAGGCGATCTGTCTCTCTCAGCTGATTTACATTTACTGTATCGCTGCCTACCTGCAGGCTGCCGTATGCAAAACCGTGCATGGCTTTGAAGAACTTGTGTGAATATTAACGTTCTTATTCAGCTAACGTAGAACTAAAAGAAAGAAAAAAAAACCAGCAACAACAACAAGTGCTTGCTGAAAACAATCTGAAACATAGTTAAAGGGGAAGCCAGTGGTTATAACCGGAGTGGTTATGAAGTGAGAACTTGGTCGTGCAGCTCTGAAGATGTTCTCTAAGACGCCATGACCTTCTTCTTGCACTCGACGGAGCAGAGCAGTTTCCCCTGCAGGACCATGAAGCGCTGACCCACCAGGCACTTGGAGCAGCCCGAGCACTGAAAACACTGAGGCTCGGCGTGCCAGTGGTGCTCGCCGTAGGACACGCGCTGCGCCTCGGGCTCGATCGGCTTCTTACACGACATGCAGTGCTGCAAACACACACACAAAGACACACACGGTTTACAACACAGAGCTGCTGCATTCTGCATTCTGCATTCTGATTGGTCAGAAGGTGATGATTTGTTTTCTGTAACTTTGCACGTTCACGATATCGTTTCTATAGCAACGGCTCATTCACAGGGACTTGTACAGCGGACACTCCGTATATTCGTTAGCGTTTATGGAAGGAGTCTCCAGCGTGACATCTTCAGGACAGACGTGTTTACTCTTTGTGGTTTCTCTTTAACATGCTAAGCTGCGTTTTCTTTTTGTCTTATTAAATCAAGAGAGAGAAAAAAAAAGAAGGAAGGGGAAAAGACTGTTTATAGCTGCTATAACATTTGTGATCATTTGTTTTGCGGATGTTCCACAACATTAAACGTAACTATAAATGGATAAAAGTAAGACATGTCGTTCATTAATAAATAAAAAATGTAATCATTAGCCAATTGCTGTTGCATAAACACTTCAGGACATGCTGTTATAGGAAAATAATCCACTTCATCACACCGCCTCGTTGTTGATTATTTTCCTATAACAGAACAACATGCGGTGTTTTATTCCTTATTTTAACAATTAATTCTAAACCCACCAATGGTGGATATAACGTCAGGTTGATACGATATGTAGGAAGAGAACCTTTAAAAACAAAGAAGCAAAAACACAAGAGGAAGTCAAAGTCTTCCCTGTGTTCTTCAAGGTGTTTGATATGAGATAATCGCATTTCCTGTCCATATCATGGCACTTCCCAAATCTCTATCAGATTTTATTATGGATTTCAATTTAGATCTCGATTCTGAGTTTCCTCCGGGTTCTCCGGTTTCCTCCCACTGCCCAAAAAACATGCGATTGGCTACTTTAAATTGCTCCAAGGTGTGAAGGAATGTGTGTGTAAATGTGTGTGTAAATGTGTGTGTGATGCTCTGCGATGGACCAGCATCCCGTCTGGTGTTTGTTTCCGCCTCATGCCCAGCGTTCCCAGGATACACTCCGGAATGAAGGTGGGCGATATGACAAAAATATCATATCGTGATAAAAGAAGACATTTTCATGATACAAAAAATATATATTTAAGGCTGGAAAAAGGAGGAATAAAAAATTCTGTATAAAAATGAATATTTTAAATTTACACATTTTTTTTAACAACTCAGAAAATTAAGATCTCAGAAAACTGGTACATATTGGATCACGATATCGATGTCATATGATTATCATATCGCCCAGCTGTAGGCTCCAGATCCACCGTAACCCTGATCAGGGTGAAACGATTACTGAAGGTGAATGAAGAAACCAAAATTATGTGGTTTTTTTATATCTACATCTAATTGTTTGTATTCTAAAAGTCAGATTCATTAGGAATAAATGAAATAAAGTCGCAAAGCACATAAAGAGACCAGTACTATTTGCAAGTGAAATATCTCATGATTGGTAGTCAAATATCAGTACACAAACACACACACACACACACACACACAGGGAGGTAGGAGATGCAAATCAGTGTAATAGTGAGCTAGAAACCAGAAAGAAACAACTAGACTGTGTGTGTGTGTGTGTGTGTGTAAATGAGTGAGTGAGTGAGTGAGTGTATGAGTTCTTTACCACAGCGTGGTTCTTCATGTAGCAGGGTTGGCACACCGGCTTGTCGTTCTCCATGACGTAGGTTTCTCCAGCCAGGACACAGTCACAGTCAAAACAGCAGAAGTGCTTCAGGTGCCAGTTCTGTCCCTCAGCCTGAGTATACTCGTTGCTGAAGATGAGCTGAAACACACAGACAAGGTCACGGAGAAACTTTAAAACGAAAACCTGAAACAGGCCACTAGAGCAGGCCACAACTCACGCAAAATAAATGAACAGATTAACTCAAAAAGTCCGCTTTACAGTAGTGCTGCAAAAAAAAAAAAAAAAGAAAGATATTTCATAGTTACAAAAAATTAATTTATCTCTCATTTTTATATTTAAAAAGAATTTTATATTAGACAAAATAAATACATAAATAATTAACACTGAAAATTTTTTAAAAAAATAACTAACATTTTAACATTTAAGACTAAAAAATTTCAACAAAGAAAATTGTACTTGGTTTAAAAAAAAACATTTAAAAATGTAATAAAAAATATATCACAATGCCTCAGGAAAGTGTACTGTGACATAACTAATCACGATATTGATATTGATATTGATATATTATATTGTTATATCACCCACCCTGATATCATTTATGTAAAATAATAAGAATTTTATTTAATCACACTACATCATCATACCGCTATGCCATCAAATTAGGATCAGTTCATGTTTCTCACACTGCACCCCATTTTACACACCCTCCTCCCTCTCTCCCTCTCTCTCCCTCTCTCTCACCTCGTCACAGCCGGCGCATCGGGGCTTCTCGCTGTCTCCGTAATGCCGGCCGCAGTACAGCTTGCCCTTCTTCCAGAAGTAGATCATATCCACCAGCAGCTCGTTGCAGGTGCAGCACACGAAGCATCCCGGGTGCCACAGCTTGTCGTAGCCGGCGCGTTCTGCGTAAACAGCCGGGTCGCCACGGTTCATGACACGCTGGCAGTGATGACACGCCTGAGGAGACAACGGATATGAGCTCGGGATATGGGAATTGAATCTATCCAAGGCTTCAGAGCAACAGCAACACAGTGGCATCAGGGCAGAACTGATCTCCTGATAAATATATACACAGGAGTGTTTAGTGTTTACTGTGTAGTTTATATTCTGTATTTATTGATTTATTGAACTGTCTGTCACCATGTTACTTATCTTCATGTCTGATGCGTAGCACTGTGATTCTGTGGGAATTTATGAAGGTGAGTCAAGTGAAAAGCTTAAAAGCACGACAAAAAATTAGAGAAACATGTATTCGGATCTCCTCGGGAATCATCTACGACACACAGTCAGGTCAAAACAGCTGGTGTCTTATCAAGGACCTGCAATCTGAGCATGTGCCACATCCGCCGTACTCAACAGAGCTCACTCCAAGTGATTGCCATGTTTTTGGACTATTATAGGAGGTCCCTGGAGGACTAGTGGTTAGGCTACGGCGCTCTCACCACCACGGCCCGGGTTCGATCCCCAGCCAGGGGGCCCGACCCCAGACAGTGCTCTCCAAAAATTGGAGAGCGCTGCATCTGGAAGGGAATCCGGCGTAAAAACTTTGCCAAATCAAATATGCAGATCAATGATCCGCCATAGCGACCCCTAACGGGAGAAGCTGAAGAAAAAAATAGGAGGCGTTGGGTGAAAAGACCTTCTGGCCGGATAAAGAAGTGTGACAGATAGTGAATCAGTGGCTGCACACGCAACTGGGAGAATTTCTAAACGAGTCCAGACACTCATTAATCGCTGGAACACTCGCATCGATTTAGAAAAACTATACACTCTTGTGACACCCTTTTGCATGAAACAACACAAATATTTGACTCACTGTCGAATCCACCTGTCTGTGATGAGAGCAATGACATGAACTTCAGATACCAATTCAGAACATATGAACTGAGTTTAGCTTAATGGGATACGATAAAAATGGAGAGATGTAGAGAAATCAAGTCAAGGCTCGTTTGGGGGAAGGAAAAAAAAAAAAGTCAAGAATACCATGAACCCCTGATCCCCCTCTCTTTTATATGCCTTCATTTTATAAAATGAAAACAGAATGTGATAAATGTCAGTAATGTTTTATTAGCATAAAGTTAGTGACCTGTTATTTAATTAAGCCTAGTTAAGAGTTCTGTATTAGTTCTGTGTTTGTATTAAATGCTGCAAAGGATATTTTTTGTAAATAAATATTTCTGGTATTTCATACATTTTAAAAATGACTGATTAATCAAAAAAAATGTTCGATAGATTAATCAATCATGCAAATACTCATTTGTTGACGCCCAACAAATGATAGGCCTATAAGGCTTAATTTAAGAGCATCTGTGTTTGTAGGAACTTATTCCACCATTTTGTTTTTTTAGTCCCACTCCCAGTGTTCATCTGGAACTCTGTGGAAATCAGCGAGAACTCAATCCACTAGCACAGATGAGCGGAAGGTTATCAGAAAATATACCATTACATGGCTCCATCTGGTGGTGAGAAAGAGGTAGTGCCATCTGCTATCCTCTACATCCATCAAAAAATAAATAAAAGTAAGAAATAAAAATTAGGAATGAGGAGAAAATAAAAGTATAGCAGCAAAGAGAGCTAAAGCAAGCTACAGCAACCATAAGCTTAAACAACCGCTTCATCATTTTTCATTTAAATCTATTTTCTACTAATGCAAAGACTACATTTTATAGTCATAATAGTTCTAACATGCATTTATAGTATATAACTCTCTAAATGATTAACATTTAAGCGTTTTATAAGACATTCACATTAAAACAGCGTGGAACTATATACAGTACAAGTCAGTGAATTTTTTGGCTTCTTAAGTCGAAGGTTTAACTGAAGATGTTTCTCTGAAACATTGACTCGATGTGCAGGGATGTTCTCATGGGAAAATCAGTGACCGGTTTTTAATTACTTACAAACCGCGTTCTTTTAAACACAGCTGTTTCAGTTTATCTGAATTTGACGCTCAAGTGTAGATGATTAAGCTTTGTTATAAATCATATAATATTAAACAGAGTTTAGAGTTCTTTTGTTTATCCACATTTGTTTTTCATTTGAAATTAGAGTTTAAAACCTTAACCTTTAATCACTACCGTAACCTGATCCTTCCGTTAGTCTTGATATCTGTTATTTTGTCTTTTTTTCAACTTTAATTTTGACATTTTGAGTAAAAACTAGCAAAATGTTCTGCAAGGAACTCTCACTTTCTGCGATCCATCTCATACAGTAGGTACCATTCTGGAAATCTGAACCACTTCATCCAGAACTTAATCCAGAACTGAAACTACAATCTGAGTTCATCTAAGGTCACTGTGAACAAATTATTGTTTAAATGAAATCCTAATTATTAATAATGGATAAGGGTTTGATTTGATTTACGGAAGAGATTAATGGAAAATACAGAAATCAGTTTGCCAGTTAAATAAATAAAAGTTCTGTCTATCATGTCTTAAAAATATACATGTCTGTGGCTATTTTTATAATGGGTAAATTTACCAAAACTTCTAAAATCTGTCTAATTAAAATTAATTTAAATTATAGAACTCAAATCCAGCCTCTGTGCCGCATCTTTCTCATGTTGTAGATTACAGATGAAGCACTTACGTAGTTACCAGCAGGACCGGCCCCGCTTACAGCCCCTACTGCCCCCGGGATCCCAACCTTCCCCACGGCGGCCGTGCCCTGGTCCCCTGGCGCTCCAGGCTTGGCTCCGGTGCCAGGGCTCTGAAGGGGTCCTGCGTGAGAGCCGAGCTCCTCCGGGAGGGTCAGGTCTCCGATGCCCAGAGCCTCGTCCTTGTACTTGCGCACGTACTGCTGCATTTGTTTGACCTCAGCGGGTGAGAGCTCGTGGCAGCGCTCCGGGTCCTGGTCATGCTCTGGTAGCTGTTTGGCCATCTGCTTCTTGCGATAATCAGCTCCCTGAGTGCCTGCTATGGGCCGCCGCTCCGGTGGCAGCAGCTCCATGTAACGCAGAGCCTAGAGCAGAAATAAGATCATTAGGGAAAGAGGAACAAAGAGGAGAGAATGGGGAATGAGTAGCATATAACATTAATGTATATGTAAAAACAATTTTTTAGGAAAAAAGCAACCAGGCTTGAGGTGTAAAGACATTTCTCTAGAATAGGTATGTAATGCTATTAAAGGTGCAGTTGGTAATTTTTAAAAGTGTTCCTAGACCTTTAACAATCATATTATTTCAAAGATACACTTGTGATACTGTGATTCAATATTTCTATGCAATGGATCTCAATAATTTCTTTATTTCAGGCTCTGTATAACTTTTTCTGGCCCAGAAATGAGTTCTGCTCAGCTCTTTCCTTAAAGGCGACTCATAAGAAAGAAAGAAAGAAAGAAAGACTTTGTCACATATACATTACAGTACAGAAATATTCTCTCTTTGCATGTACCAGCTCCTAAGGAAGTTGGGGTCAGCCATGATACGGCACCCCTGGAGCAGAGAGAGTTAAAGGCCATGCTCAAGGGCCCAATAGTGGCAGCTTGGCAGTGTTGAACTCCCGACCTTTTGATCAGTAACCAAGAACCTTAACCACTGAGCCACAACTTTCACTGGCCTACACAGTTTCAATAGAGGAGGTGGGGTCAGTTGCTTGTCATGTTGTCATGCAACAAAATGCTCCGCTCCTTCAAATTTACATAGATCTAAATGATGAAAGCATGTAATAAAACCAAACACAGTTGTGCTGGAATCCTTACCAAGTTCTGATCAACCCCTGGAGGAGCCCACTCGTAGGTGACAGCTTTGACCACATTTTTTTTGGCTGCCACGGCAGGAGGAGTGACAGCAGCAGCAACAGGGGCAGCAGAAGGGATACCTTGACCTGCGGCAAAGGAGGCGCCGGGCACAGAAGGGAAACCTTGGCCTGCAGCAGATGGAGCACCCTGGCCAGGGACCGAGGGGGCGCCGTGGCCAGGGACAGAGGGGACGGAGGGGGCGCCGGGGACGGAGGGGGCGCCGTGGCCGGGGACAGAGGGGACCGAGGGGGCGCCGTGGCCGGGGACACCTTGGGAATAGGCAGGACTCACTATACCCGCAGTACCAGCCACTGGAACAGGTACCGCAGTACCAATAGCAGGCGTGCTGATGGTTATGGTGAGCTGGCTGCCTTGGTACGAAGGCACTCCGTCTCTCTTCAGCTTGGCCATGAGGCTCGTGTACTTGGTGTCTTCGAAAAGCCGCCCCACCTTCTGGTTCTCTTCCGTCTGCAGCTGCACGTCATGATCCTCTAACCCGCACTTGCAGTTGCGGCAGATCTTTCTGTTGAAATGATGAATAAGGATGATGAATTTTCTCAATACTATCAAAAGGTTAAATTTTACATTGGAAACCAAAATGAGACCAACGTTTGACCACAGTTTCACCGACTATATGGCCAAACTGGAATCTGCTCCACTACTAGAAAAACGTAAGCAGCAGAACTTGAATCTGAGGTTTTGGAATAACATTACAGCACTGGTTTGGTGTCCTGGGCGTGTAATAACATGAAGATACAGCCAACAGAGTTAAAAAAAGGAAGTTTCACAACTTAAATATATCAAGTGCATAAAAAAAACGTGTATCCTTGACCAGTGTGTCTCATTACATTTATGGCAGACGGCTTTATCCAGATTGACCAAAAGAAGTGCTTCGTAGTCCCAGTTAAATAGACAAATCCTTTTACAAGTTTGGAGTTGTATACAAACCTCCAGAAGTGAAGATCAAAGCCCTCGCACTTGTCCTTGCATTTCAGACACGGTGCTCCGGCTCCGATCTCATGGCCCAGGGTCATCTGCCAACACAGTCGCTTAGCGTTAGACATAAATTCAGCTTTAAACACTTCAAATCCTTGGAAAGCAGTTGTTGTTTGGGTTTGGGGCAAATCTAGTGGAAATCGAGACAATGAATTGATCAGAAAGAGAAAGGCTTTTATTATAAAGTCATTTATACTACAGCGCTGTTGAATTCTCGATTCTGATTGGTCAGAAGGTGTCGCCTTAATTTCTGACAGTAGTACAGCTGCAAATCACAGATGTTCATTCTAATACGTTATCGTTTCTATAGTAACAGCGCATTTCCAGCGAATTCTACAACGGACACTCCACATAATCGGGTTACAAAATTTGAGTAATTGGTGATAGGGTGAAGTTTTTTGTAAGGAGTTATTTATTTAACATTTATGGAAGGAGTCTCCAGTGTCAGGGTTAAAGCTGCAAAACTTTACGTTTTCCGACATCTTAAGGACAGAGGAGTTGACGAGTTTTTTGTGGTTACTCAGTAAAATGACAGGCTGTGTTTTTTGTCTTAGTAACTTCAAGAGAGAGAAAAAAAGACAGACTGGTGAGGGAATGACTGTTTATAGCTGCTATAACGTAAGTAATAATTTGTTTCATGGACATTCCACAACAGTAAATGTACCTATAAACGGATAAAAAGCATGATGTGTAGTTCATTAATAAATACAAGTAAATAAGAGTGTTTTATTCTATACTAATTGAATATAGATTGGTTAGAAGGCAATTGTCTTAATTCTATTATTTTGATAATTAAATATGCATACTTTTCTCCGACGAGATCTACGCAAAAAAAACCTCACACTTGGATTATTTCTTGTCCAACAAAAACTTGTTTTTATCTCCACCTCTACACACAGACTCTTCATTTACATACTTATGCCATGATATCATGTTCTGATCTCATGCTGTTTGATATTTTAGTCATTTGCACTTCTGCTGCCAAACCCCCCTTTTTTTATTCATTTTGAGCACAGATCACTCACAGCCTGCGCACCGAGCTGTCCCGACATGGCCATGCCTATATAAGGCCAAGTATTTGAAGATGTGCAGAAAGCCTGGAGGGCTCAAACACCCTCCTGCTGCTTGCACAGCAGATGTCTTTACTTCTAAAACATGAAGAACCCAAAATCCTGGAGGAATTAGCCAAACACCTGGCTTTAAGTCCAGGTTCTAATTAACAGTTATACTCCTAACCCTGTTATTAACAGTCAGCCTCATTTATCACGCTGGATATGAACAAATTTATTCGGAAATTATGATTATTATTATCCAGTTAGTTGGGAAAAATGTTCATATGCTACATTTCGCTCCTGAGTTTGTGTAATTTTACGTGTTAGGAGACTCACTAATGGCCAATGGGTTACTGCCATTTCATATATGGATTACGCTGTCAAGTTGAAGTCGCTTATTTATTTTTGCGAAACTCAGTCATTTCATATTAATCCATAAATTAAGACAAATAAGACTAAAGTAATGGCGCCCTATAAAAGGAGGAAGAGTTAGTGTGTGTCTATGGTAGCTGACACGCTGCAGTGGCTGAGCTGCACTACTGGAAGATTTAGCGCACACCTCATTTAGGAGATGCTCATTTACCATTTAGTCGCCAATTTGTTGTTTTCAGCTCACTGTGAGCTTTGCCTTTTATGGGATTTGTGGGTGTGGTGAAATGTGAAACAGCTGGGCCATGAAGTTCAGCTAAGCTTGTGTAAATCTGGCAGGACTTTTTTGGCCTACAAAAAGATTTACAACACAACTTTACTAAAAGATTTGTAAATGAGGCTCGTGTATTTCACGAATTAAATCATATTTACTGTTAAATCAGATTCACTATTGATTTAAACATCAGTCCCTGAAATCATCCGAGGGCAAAAAAAAAAATTACACCAACCTTCTCTGCTCTCTCTGTCTACTAGACAAATTTCAGTATAGAACAATATTCTACATCGTGACTCATTGGAGTGCGCTGTTTTATATACTGCATCTCTGAGAGGTTTAGTGAGAATGACATGGTTTCCAAATCTAGACTGCACTACTGTGTGGTAAATCACACACACTGTCAACCTTACACACTCCTGAAAGGCCTCACATTAGTCAGAGTGTCTTAAAGTAAATATTTGTCAGTGAGATTTTTTTCCCCCGGCTCTTCACAGACCTTTCCATTTTCCACATACAGAAAGCAGTGACATCATCGAAGATCTTACACTAAAAAAAATAATCCAGCTCCATGCTATACCCAGCTCAGATTTATAGTCAGTAGTCAAGTAATTATGAGTCTATAAACAATTACATGGTGAATAAAACTTACTGAGCACTAAAGGGAAAAAGGAAAGCTGTCTACTGCTATTAATCAGTATATAATGGGATTATTTGTTTTGCAGTTTGATCATTTGGAGAAAACAGTGAGCTGCAGGCTAGTCAAAAGTATAGTTAGAAATTTCGATAGAAGTTAAATGAAGATTAGTTATAGAAATAAGTAGTTTTGAAATCCTCGTCAGCTTTTTCTCTGAAGCCACGCCCCCAAACATGCTTCCACTTTTTGTTTCAAATCTCCTCAGAAGTGAGTTTTTTCAACCCTAAACAAGATTACACCACAGTACTGATGAATTCTGGATTCTGATTGGTCAGAAGGTGTTGATTACTTTTCTAAAACAGCAGCTCTGACAGTAGCGCAGCTAAAAATCACAGGTTTATATTAATGCACTCGTTCTAATACGTTATCATTTCCATAGAGACGTGAACTGCGAACGCTTCATATGAACGGATTTAACGTATAATTGTTACCCGATTTGGTGAAGTTTTTTTTTTTTTTTGTAAGGAGATGTTTATTTAACATTTGTGGAAGGAGTCTCCAGTGTCAGCAAGATTTCGGGAGAGGTTTTTCCTCGGTAACATTAAAAGCTGTGTGTTTTCCGTCTTATTAAATTCAAGAGAGAGAAAAAAAGAGAGGCTGGTGAAGGAACGATTGTTTATAGCTGCTATAACATAAGCAGTAAGAAGAATTAAATCGTCTTAATGTCTTTCTTTAATTAATAAACAACTTCATCGTTGGCAAATTGCTGTGGTATAAGAGGAATAAAACAATTCCTCTTTTGTACGTCAACAAGTCACATTGCTCATTTTATTTTGCAAAGATGATATTTTCTGGGCGGCACGGTGGGTGAGCAGTCAGTAACGTTGCCGCCTCACAGCTCCAGAGTTCCCGGCTGCTGTCTGTACAGAGTTCTCCTCCTGTGTGTGTGTGTGTGTGTGTTTGCTCCGGGTTCTCCGGTTTCCTCCCACTGTCCAAAAACATGCAGGTAGGTGGATCGCCCATGCTAAATCACCCCTAGGTGTCGATGAGTGTGTGAACGTGTGTATCTACGTTGCCCTGTGATGGACTGGCGTCCCATCCAGCGTGAATTCAAACGCTTTGCACCCAGTTTTCCCGGGATAGACTCCAACTCGGATCCACCTCGACCCTGACCGGCATAAAGCGCTTGCTGAAGATGAATGAATGAATGAATGAATGATCATTTCTATAATTTTGATAATCAACATTAAACAATTTACACCACATTGTTAACGGTTTTTATTTAAACTGAATGATTTTTTAAAATTTATTTCAGGTATAATGTTTTATCATGGTTTTTTTTACTTATGATGTTCCTAAACATTGACATTTTTAATATGTGATATTTAGAAAAAGTGACTTTTTTATGACATGCAAAGAAAAAAAAAATCTAAAGACTGAGGATGTTTTTAAATAATTAAATAATAAACTCTTATGAATGTATTC